CCCCAAAACCCCAAAACCCCAAAACCCCAAGCAAAACGAAAATTATTAATACATTAAAAAAGTTGAAAAACAACATTATGTCACAAGAAAGAGAGGAAAAACTAACAGATGTAACGAATACCCAGCAGACTGGTCAACACCTTGACCTTCATGAAGAGACCAAGGTTGGCAAAGATCAGGTTAGAGCTATGATTTGTAAGTGGTTCGGAGAGGCCCACAATACTGGCTCCTTTATCTCAGTAACTGACGAAATTGAAGAGCTCTGTAAGACTAAGGAGAAACATAAAGATACAGTCAAAGCTATGCAGTGGATTCTCAACAATATCATATGTAAACCTTCTAAAAAGAAAACTTCTGAAGATATCCTAGTGAGTTTCATAAATCTAGTGAATTCTCTTAAGAACAAGTATCATAACGCAGAGCCAATCCAAAAGTTGATCTATGAGTTGATAATATTCTGCTGCGCATTACTGAGAGATAGCAAAGTGACTGTTCAGACAAAATCTCTCAACGTAATAAACCAAGTAATGTGCCAGGTTAAAGACCTTGAGCTTCTAGATGATAAAGCAAGAAAATGTATCTGGTCTAATGCCCTATTCTTTACCAAAGAGAACAAGCCAGTTGAGCTTAAGATAACTTGTCTTGAAATATCAGGGCGTATCCATAAGTTTCTTATGAACAGAGATAAGAACTTTACTGAGATCAATGAAATCACAAAGCATCTCAACTACCTTGTATTAAAAGATGAAGAAGAGAGAGTCAGAGTCCAGGCTTTCAAAGCCTTACCAGTATGTGAAACTACTTATAAAACAGTTTTCACTAGGATCACAGATATTGCAAAGAAAATCAGACAGATTGCGTATCAAAAAATCTCAAAGACAGACATTACTCTGAAGCAGATGCCTGAGACTCTCAAAATCAGATGTTTCAGATTTATTCAAGAAGAAGTTTCGAAAGAAATTCAGCCAGATGCAGAACAGTGCCTTCAAAAGTTGATCTTCCCAAAGAAAGGGGACAAAGTATCTCTATTGTATATCATAGATCAATTCGTAGAGAAACTATGAGAAATCTCAATAGAAACAAACCTGGTGATGCTTAAACTAGTCAGAAAAGGATTTGAAACATACTTTGACATTCCTCATATCCTAGAGACCGAAGGCACAACAGCTGTAAATTTTATCAAAGATAAGGCTAAACTAAGTCAAAATAACTCAAATCATATTCCTAAAGAGCTTGAGTTTTATAAATCTTGCTTTGTCTGCATATACATTTTGTCCTACCTCAAAGAACAGAGGGATTTAGTAGGTCTGTATACACCATTTGCAAGGAAGTTACCAAGTGCTTATGAATTCGAGCTACTATTCATTCACTTCCAAGACCAAAAATACATCCTGAGTATGCTATGCCAGTTGATCAGCCATATCCAGCTTCCTGATGTAGAAAAAGACAAATCTCAGTGGGAAGAGACTGTCAAAAATCATGGAATGAAACAAATAGTAAAGTTTTGCAAATCTAATCCTGAGAAATCCAAACTCATCAGTGAGGAAGGTGACAAAGTCGATTTCATTCGACTTTATAATGAAGAACATCTCCTGAACACTATTATAGACGAAGTTATTTATGAATGCAAGCCTGACCATAAGGAAGGAAGACAATACAGAAACAAAAAGTATTCAGAAATCATGAGGAATGCAGAATTTCAGATTACAAATTTCGACCAGGATTCTGAGAATTTGACGAAATTCGAACGAGTTTGAGACTTAGTATATTTCAACCTGACCCCGAACAGTAAAGATGATTTCTTTGTCCAAGTAATGACCAATTTCAAATCATTTTATTATGAGTGGATGTCAATTCAGGAAATTGAAAAAGATGCGGAGAAAAGTTGTTTTAACTTTATTTTCCAAAAGATCCAGACTGCTTGCCAGAGATTGAATATTATTCAAAATGGAAATGACTCTGAGGAAACTATTGGACAGCAGGTTCTTAGTAAAAGAGATGCCTACAATCGTCAAAACGGTCAGTATAAGAAACTGAAGACTAGGAAGAATGATATTGAAGACAAGATCAGTAAAGCAGAATTCCAAAAGAAACGTGAAGAAAAAGGCCTACTCAAAGAACATGAAGAGGAAGGTGACAAGCTAGACATCTATAAGCTCAGAGAAGAGAAGGAAGAAATTAAAAACCAGATCAAACAAATTAAGAAAGATCATGAAAATCTCAAGACTGAGGTAGCAGAATTATACAGAAAGGATATGATCTGGACAAGCCATTATTTGAAAATAATCAAGATGATCATTGAGCTAGAAGGCAAAGATCATGTACAGATGCTTAAGAATAAAGGCCAGGACTTTATCACCTTTGTTGATGAGCATATCAAACCGTTTATGGAGCATCCGTTTAGTAAAGAAATAAGCCTAGTTGCTATAGAGTGTGCTGGTGCAGCATGACTAGCAAGCCAAGAAGTAGCTCTTGAGTATATGAAGTACTTTAAAGAAAAGATAGAAAAGTTTGTACCTCGGAAAAATGATGATAAAATTCCAGATTTCAATTCAGTAGAGTTTGACTTTGATGAAAAAGCAGTTCAAGAAAGGGTAAAAACAATAATCCCTGGTGAAGCATCCAGATATCTCAAAATCATTACAGACTCCATCATAACCCACTCTCTCCTCTCTAAATCCACACTGCAGACTTCTTCCCAAGACACAAAATTCCTCATCAACGATACCAAAACTCTCCTCCTAAAAAACCTCACCAACACTTCAAAACCCGTCCAAAACACCACCTTCGTCTGCCACACTGCTCTCCTCATGACCAACTCCTTCCCCAACCCCTCTTCCCTCCTCACCAGAATCCTCCTCCTTCGCGAGGAACTAAAACCCCACCTTGAACGCCAATCCAAAGGCCTTCGCAAAATCATCGATCTCTTCCTAACCACTTACTCCAAAATCTCCATCTCAAACCTCACCACTCTCTACAAATCCTTCCTTGGCAGCCTCACCTTCATCACTCTTGCCAAGGCCAAAGGCTACCCCTCCCCTTGGCTCCACAGTAAAGAGAGGACACTAGCGCAGCTAGTCCTTCCTCTTCTTAGCCTGAAGACCAACGTGGCCTTCAGCCTTGAAGGCAAGGCTGAGGTGGACTTCAACAAGGAAGTGTTGGGGTATCTGTGCTGGATCCAGAGATTTCTGAAGTGACCAGGGCTGGTGAAGAAGGTAGCAAGTGTGCTTGTGTTTGAAGCGACTGGGGCGCTAGGGCCAGGAGAGCTGGGAGCATTGGGGTGACTGAAGGGGTATGTAGAGGGGGTGATGGGCATGGAGAAGGTTAAGGGACTGGAGAAGGTGAAGGTTAAGGGGAAGGAAGATAGTGAAGAGTTTGTGAGGAAGTTAGTAGGGGAAATTGAGTATGAGACTATTTGGGAAGATGCCAAGGGAATTTTTGGTAAGATTATGACGAAGGAAGGGGAGTATGATGATAGGAAAGTGGAGAAGGAAGGAAAGAAAAGGAAGAAAGATAGTGATAGTGATCATGAGGTTATGAGAGAGGTGAGAGGTAAATTGAAGAGGTTTAGAAAGTAATTTTTAGAAGGTGTCTAATTTAAATTATTTTGTGTAATTAGCATTAATTTTTACTGTATTTGACTATTTTGTAAGGTGATGTTTTAAATTTTATTGAGATTCAAAATATTACACATAATTAATGATTTTGTTAAAAGCTCTATACTCTCCAATACAATTCCGACTTCCCAATCTTGTCTTTAATCAAAAATATTAAATCTTTTAACTATTTCTATCCCATAAAATTATCTCTAAATTGTTTTTACACATATTTAAGTAACTTAAAATTTTCCCAAGTAGTAAAGCAAAGTGATCTTTTGAATTTTGCAAGTAAAATTCAAAGTAATCCAAATAACCCCAGGTACTGATTTATGCTACCTAAAAAGTGGACCATTAAAACCTACATCTTTAAAAATCTAAGCAATGATTCCATGAGAAGTTTAGAATGATTTGCCATTTCAACTAGTTAACTTACTTAATCTCTAAAATTTGAAATTCTCATTAAGCTTCAAACTCTTAATAACACACCCCCACCCACCTAAAAACCTTAACCCTAAAAAACCTTAACACAAAAAATTACTTCCCCCCTCTAAACCTCAACTCCATAACACCTCCTAACCTTCCTAAAAACCCTCTCATAAAACTCACACAGCACCTGCGGTCACACCTTCTTCAACACCTGCACACTCACACACAAATACTCAATCTCCCCCTTATTATTCACAAATTCCACTATTCCGTTCCTATCCTTTCCTTTATTCTTCAACTTCTCAATCCCTTTTATTTCTCCTGTTGCTAGTTTCTGTTCTATTCCTTCTTGTTCTGTTTTTATGGTAGGGGTGTAGTCTGGGCAGCAGGGTTGTTCGGTTTTGATCTTTTTTGTTTCTTAACTTTTTGATGATGTAAGAGTTTGATTGATCATTTTGTTTAATTTCTGCTTAATCATTTTTAAAGACTTCTTCTTTTTCGGCTGAGAATGACTAGAAAGCAAATCAAACTTATTCTTCCTCTTCTTAGGCCTAGTCCCTGCAAAAGGAAACTCCCTATTAATCTTATCAATCGCCTTCGCCAATCTCTTCTTCGACGGCAACATCTTCTTCTGCTTCTTAGACAAACTCTTCGGATGCAAGGGAGGATGCACTCAATTCCACCTCTCTTCCTTCCCCTCTTCCTTCCCCTCCACCTCTCATTTAACCCCTCCAAACCCTTCCTCAATCTCCTTCTCCAGTCCTTTCCCTCTATCTACCTCTCCAAAGTCAATCTCCTTCTTAACTTCCGTCTCTGGGAAGACTCCTTGATGATACCCTTCCTCATAATTCCTACTAAAAATATTCAAAAATATCTTCATCTTCAGGAATAAGTTCGTTCTCGCTTTCGTTCTCTCTGAGGCCTTCTATCTAATTCTATTTTGCTAATCGGGGTTTTGGGGTTTTGGGGTTTTGGGGTTTTGGGG